ACATCACTGGTGAGAAGAACACTGGGAAGCACAAGGAAGTACAGAGCTGACCTGATTACTAAGCTGTTTGGCTTAATCACCCGGCATCTGATTTCTTCCTCCGACCTGCTTTTAAGCGATCCACCTTAATAGCCTCTGATTGATGGCACCTGGTGCAGCCTGCCTGTCACACCTGAGGATAAGAGGAGAGGATACACACACACACACACACACACACACAACCTCACATGGGACTAATGTGGTTCTGCCTCGATGTGTCTGAGAGGAGACGGGCTGCAAAGTTTTGAACCAATCGAAGACGAGCTATGGTGAACTTTGGCAGGCCGACCTATAGGGCATTACATTAGTCAGTACATTCAACCCCCCCCCCCCCACCCACCCACACACACACACACACACACACACACACGCACGATCACACAAACACACACAAATTTTTCCTGCTTTTTACCCAGAGTCCCACAATCCATGTGACAGGCTGAGCTTCCTGTCACTGTAGGCCCATTGATCATGCACCCTGGCTACTTGGCCACGGGGATATACCTTTGGCTGACTGGATAGCGATCGTGACTCGCACCCGGGAGTCTGGGGATCAAATCTCCCCCGGGCACTCGTTCTTCCACCTTGCCACTCATATCAGTTGTAATAAACCAAAACAGAGATCTAGAAAAGTTCCAATGAATGACAGTTAACAAGCTGACCATCACAGCGACAGCAGTAATTGTCCCCTTCTGGAAGTAAAACTGTGGGCCAATTTTTTTAACGGGAGTCAGACACAAAAAAAGAGAATGTGGCTATCTGACAACAAACATGAACATCAACGCAGCACATTACTATCACCCAGCAGTCACACTGAGCCTGGTCCTGGTGTGACTCACTCAAACTGTAGCCAATGATGAGGCGGCGTCGGGGAGCGGTTGTTTTGTAAGAGGTCGGACTGTGGCGCGATCACGTTCTTTTTATAAAGGATTACGCGATGGTGGTGGTATGGGGGTGGCCTCTGTGCTGCCACAGACTTCCGTTTAACTTGGACATAACTTGCTATTTACTGCAATCGAAGCCGATCTCATTAATAAACAACTCATAAAGGTGGCTGTGACTCACACTCCCCATGAACTGTCTGGTGATCTGAGCTCCAGCTCTAACGGAGAAAAGCTCCTGGAGCTCTGCATCGCTCCAGCTGCTTCTGTTCAAAAAGCAAAACTTACTGCCTGTGTTTACATTCATTTTTGATATTATAGCCAACCGGCACTCAGCAGTAGCTCCCCACGTGATCGTGACACCACCCTCTGTTGTGCCAAGGCTCATCATGCATTCACAAGTCCGACATTGCAGCCATTTTACAACCAAGCATGGCGGCACAAAAGCCACAAAATTCCTGCATCGCGATGCTGACACAGCATGTTCATAAGACACACCATGGTGGCAGGATTACGCTTATTCGATGGCATTGTGTGTCTTCTAAAGAGGGCTTGTGAGAGAAAATAGAAGACGAACCCATGGTTGTTTATCGCTGGAGGCAGTACAGGCAAGGATTGTTGCCCAGACCCAAGGTCAGAGAGACCATGGCACACTTTTGCACGTGGGCCTAATGGTATGGACCTACTGCCAATAGCTGCCAACACAATCTTGGTATGGAAGTTTGGTACATTTCTTACTTTCAGCACCCCCTTCAAAGTGCACCCCTTGGGAAACACCCATTTATTCTGTTGTTTGGATTTCTTGCTCAACAGCTTCTTTGGATTTGTTATGTTTGTTTATGTCCGCTGATCTAATGAGCGATAAAATTTAGGTCCTCGTTTTCCAATATTTCACCCAGTTGACAACAGCACCTTGGATCAGTTCGACCATCAGAACCGGCATCCAGACATGAAGATAATGAACTCCTGGTGAGGATTTGTCAGCAACTTTATCAGCAGAGGGAAATTGTTACAAAGACACACATAAAAGAGGTCATGACTTCACTTGTTTGTCGTTGCTCTTCTGAGAAAGGGTCTCATCTGCGCTCAAACTGCTGGTGAGTAAGGATCAGGAGCAGCGTGGGCCAATCGCGTCGTGCAGGGCCAGCTGTAAATGAGCGTGGTTCACAGCCGAGGTAACGTAAACACTTAAATGTGGGGAAGCTGCTGCTGACTAACTTGTCATTAACACACATGTGGGCAGTTTACGCTCCTGGTGCTGTTTTAAAATACAAATTGCACTTTTTGCATGGCTCGTATGAAACAGTGAAGAAGGGGTTGTTTTGTGGTTTCCACAGTGGAGGCGATCTTCAGTCCAGGAGTGTGAATCACTCACTTAATTAGAGAACCACATGTAAACAGTTAGCCCTGAGGATAACAGGGTTTTGTGTGAGTGTGTGTGTGTGTGTGTGTGTGTGTGTGTGCGTGCGTGCGTGCGTGCGTGCGTGCGTGCGTGTGTGTGTGTGTGTGTGTGTGTGTGTGTGTGTGTGACCATTCACATTCCCAAACCATCCAAAGAAGAGGTAGAACAGAGAAAGTTAAAAGAAACTGAAAAGGGTGGGGGAGAACCGAGGAAACACACTCACAACATGACTACTACTATAAAAGTTAGGTTTTTTTCATACCGTCTACCCCGTACAGACTGAAAACATGACATAAAATGTTATGGTTGGCAGAATTCTGTTTTTATGGTACCAAGAGTCAAACGTGAAGCAGCACAGATTGAAACCAGAATAAATAAATAATTAAATAACTTTTATTCCAATTAATAAAACTCAGCATAATCAAATTCCTCAAGAGGAACAACAAGCTCAACACTTCACAGCAAATTGTGTCGGAGGCCAAGAGAAACTGGCTTAAAAAGGTCTGTCACTAATAACCGAGTGTGTGTGTGTGTGTGTGCGTGCGTGCGTGCGTGCGTGCGTGTGTGTGTGTGTGTGTGTGTGTGAGTGTGTGTGTGTGTGTGTGTGTGTGTGTGTGTGTGTGTGTGTGTGTGTGTGTGTGTGTGTGTGTGTGTGTGTGTGTGTGTGGTTAGAAGTGCTGTTCTAAGATAACCCTAAAGAAACAAACATCCCAATCAGCAACAAAGGTTGACTTTAGCTGGTCCAAAACCAAATCAGGCTTCTGAAGAGAACTTGGCTGTAAGTAGAAACATATTTACTCTCCTCTCTCTCTCTCTCTCTCTCTCTCTCTCTCTCTCTCTCTCTCTCTCTCTCTCTCTCTCTCTCTCTCTCTCTCTCTCCCGCTCTCTCTCTCTCTCTCTCTCTCTCCGTCTCAGCCAGGACCGGGATTATCGGAACGATTTGTGTCTCTAAATGCAAAGAACTTCACGAAAGGACATCCAAATTATACAACTTGCCTCCACCAAATAGCTGATTCTCTCTTTTTTAGGATAAAGTTTAGAGCTGACTGAAAGATTGCCCTTAGTGGCATTTCTTTTCAATGTGGCTCTAACAAATTCTCAGGAAATCATTATTATCATTATTATATTTATTATTATGAATAGGGGGATCGTCCCATGTGCCAAGACATGTGGCTTCGACCACACAGCCTTTCCCGTGTTATCTCTGAGTGCACTCGGTTCTGTTTCTGCAGCCTCTTTCTAACATTAACACGTTCATTTTACTGAAACCCAGCGGATGGGTTGAAGCACAGTTCGATTTCATTATTTTGCTTTACTATTGTTTTGTGTTGTGGATAAATTACGTCTTGACTTCCAGGGTAAACCGATTTTTTTCCTCTCAACCCCAACAGGAAACGCGTGTCACACTTGTTAAAACTGAAGTGTGTCCCTTTTTGGTGGGTTGCATCTGCTTCTCCGATTTCCACATTTTCCCTGACCAGGAAAAGTAAATCAGACTACAAACTGGTCAAGTACGGATGTGGTCAAAAGCACTTTTACCTTTGGATCTCTGTAACAGGATTGATGGATGATTTTAAATTCATTGTAGGAGTGAGTGGGTGTTACCTCACTGGCCTTACTCAGGGTGTACTGCCTCTCAGCCAATGACAGAGCGGCTCCCGCCAACCACAACCGCCAACAGAACTCTGACACCACTTGCATGACGCTCCACAGGTCCGTTTCTGGTCTATCTTGGCAACAAAGTGGGACAAGTTGGGGTTTGCTTTTGGCACATCAGTGCTTTGGGTTGTGGGTTGGGTCCTCTGTGTACTAGGGTAGCTCAGTAATCAGTTTACAAGTCAAAACGTTGTAGCTGCACAGCTAAAACAGTACACGATCAAGAGGGTTTTGTCTTTTTATCTCCAAACTCACTGAGTCTTCATCTAAGGTTAAATACAATAAGATATCAGATGATGCATCTAGATTTGACCCAATGCATTCTACTCTATCAGTCCCTTGGAAGGGTTTGTTTTGGTCTTGGTCATTCTTTTACATTCCTTGAAACATTAAAACAGCATACAGTCTGAGTGAAGTTATGGGAAAATGTTTAAATGTTCTATAAATGATTAAAAGTGTCTTCAATAACTTTAATGTTTGATTTAATGCGATTTGGCTCGTATTTATTGCAAAAACTGACTTTAAAGAAAGTTTTGAAAAGCCAGTTTTTTAGACATTTGATTTTATTTTATTTTTCTAAAAAAAATGTATTTAACATTCCCCAATGTGATCCAAATATTCTTGCTTTGAGTAAAAAAATCTAATATAGGCTAAGCAAAAGTTACTTGGCTAGAAATTGTATTAATAATCTAATCTTATTTTTAAGATTTCTATCCAAGAAACATTTGCTTTCCCCGCTGGCAGAATATTTTCCTCCAAATAAGAAAATATGGATCACATTCAAGAATATTTACCTTATTTTAAGTATTTATATTTTCTAGAGAAAAATCTATTTTCTATTTATTTTTCTTAGAAATAATTTTTTGCAGTGAGGGTAAGGACACGCGGAGGAATGTGGTTGTCTGCTATGTGTTGTTTACATTTTGACAAGTCACTGATAAGATTTGCAACACAAGTGTGTGTGTGTGTGTGTGTGTGTGTGTGTGTGTGTGTGTGTGTGTGTGTGTGTGTGTGTGTGTGTGTGTTTCTCTCTCCTATACACCAAAGAGCAGGTTTCTTCTCAGACTTTCTGCAGTGATGCTGTGTTTTATGCTGGACTCCATCCTGCCTCTGCATGGCAACTGCCTGCTAAAACAAACCAATAGATCAGGATTGTCATCAGCTCCCTGCGGTGGTTTGGGGATGTCTAAGAAGTTGATGCTCTGTGTGTTTTTGGCCATGTTCAGATGCATTTTTGCATCTACAGAAGTTTGTACCAACTCCCTCCTACCAGGAGCAAAAGGTAGGCCAGAACACAGCTCTAATTACTTCTGCTTTATAAGAGCATTTGGTCCTACGTCTGAGTTTTAAGTGTATGTGAGTAAAACGTTCTGAGGAGATACCCTGGTATGTTTTATGGTCCACAGAGCTGATGAGAAAGCCACAAAGCATTAAAAATCCTGTATTTTACAAGCTAGCTGTCTGTCCTCTCAGCGGCTGTGGAAGGGAAATCTGTGTGTGTGTGTGTGTGTGTGTGTGTGTGTGTGTGTGTGTGTGTGTGTGTGTGTGTGTGTGTGTGTGTGTGTGTGTGTGTGTGTGTGTGTGTGTGTTTCTTTTTACAACATCCAGTAGTTTGCTTCCCTACTGGTTCAGACAGACAGACCTAATAAAATAGAAAGTTGAGCTTCACTTCATTTTCTCTTCTCTTCAGCTTCTTTAGCACCAACTAGGAAGGAAAATGGAGGTTATTTCAAGTAAAAGTCAGCAAGATGTTTCTGGAGGAGCTGGACAGTTTCAAACCGTCTAAAGGCCGTCAGCCAGCTGGCGCTGTTCTTTCTCTGCAGCAGAGAGAAAAAGGAAACTCGAAAAGTAAAGTAATGAATAAGAAATAAGGTGGTTGTTGATTTCAAATCTACTTTTAGGACATTTCACCAGAAAGTCCCGTTGTGTTGGTGTGTATTTAGACAGCTGCCACTAGACTGAACTGATTATTTGCACAAGACTCATCCAGATAGCGCCGACCGCAGAGCGAATATTTTGGTGGGCGACAGGCGTGCATTTTTCTCTGTTCCATACAAACCAAAAATGTCTTATTTACTTTAAACCTTTTTCAACAAACATTGTTTTATTGCTTTTACTGGTGCTCTGACTGCACTTTTTTTTTCTTTAGTTTTGGTTAAAGAAAAACGAAAAACCTGAAAAGAGCTGCCTCAGATTGGTCTTTTCTGAGTAATGTTTTCTGAGTGTTCAGTTACTGGCAGACTAACTTTGACTTGACAGATCTACATCTGATGTGACGCTTTAACTACACAAATGAGGCATGTTAGTGATTTCTTGGTCTCCGTAGAGAAATGAGCACATGTTTGCAGGCAGCACTGTGGATTTGGTGCACTTAGCTTTTTAAAAAACCTGATCAGACAACAAATGTTCAGTCTGCTACAACCGTTCATGTCAGCGTGTGACTGATGTGATTTTATAAAGCAACAGAAACAAAAAAAGCCTCTTAGAAAAGATCTCCAACCAGGACCATCGCTAACCTGCCGGTTGTGGTTTTCACTTTAAGAGAAGGCTGTGTTGTCAGAACGCTGATAGCGCAGCTCTTATAAAAGCTTGTTGGTTTGGAAGAAAAATGTGAAAATGGAACGCAGAAGTCCGACCAAGTCCAAGAAAAACTTCCATACAGTCTCTGCTGTGCATTCAAACCCAAACCGGACCTGAACTGGAACATATACACAGACATAACTCATGCAGCGACCACACTGACCCACAGTTAAGTAACTATGGTGGGATCAGAGGCTGCCAGGTTGTGTGATGAACACAAAAACTAGATCAAATATTTGTAATAATCCTAACCTGGACAGAAGTAAAGGAGTGATTTTCATTTTCTTTTAAACTTAGGAGACCAAGGTGAGACCGGAGAGATGGGCGAGCAGGGGAAACAAGGGAAGGATGGACCACCAGGACTTCCAGGTAATAAAAATATATACGTTTTTGTTTTCAGGACTTGTTTTTGCTGCTGTGAATAATAGAGGTTTAAAAAATAAACCAGTTTAATTTAACACACACACTTTTAAAGGAATCGTTTTTCCCAGCTGTGGCACGACCTCTCCAAAAATAGCTCCTGGAAACTCTCCTCCCTTAGAACAGACTTCATTTTGGATAAATGCAAATGTGACCGTGTAAGGAAGTAAACCCTTTTTTCTCTGTCCATTAGCGTGTTTCCAACATCCAGCAAAGACTTCTGACAGATGCGAGACAGAATCTTAAATAAAAACCAGGAACTCCACAGAAGCCGCGCTCAGACAGAAAACTAAAGTCCGTCTCCGTCCACAACCAACGCGAACAAACAATAATGTTACCTTCTCCGCTGTGAGCTTCACACTTTGACCTTTTGGTCGTTTTGCATTGATACGCGGTGGGTTCTGCTGTGACAGACAGACAAAACAAACGGACGACGATAGGTTTGTTCGCTGGTGCTGAGGAGAGCAGGGGCATCCCGCTTCACTGCGCCGTTTCCATATAATCTAGATGGACGATCTGAACAGGAAGCGTGCTGAGGTCACACCAGAGATGCCCTCTTTTCTGACACGAATGTTTCATTCAGTTGCTTCACACTGAGCACCATTCTCTCGTTGAGTCTGAAACAAACACTGGGACCGTCATCGTTATCCAAACAGAGCAGGCATGTACGGTAGATGTAAACCTCCTTCCGCTCTTCAAGTCTGACAAAGCCGGTCATTATGAGGTTGGTTTTTTCCTGTCTGTGTTCTGACTGAGAGGCAGGCATGGACGCAGATCCCTACAATGACTTCGTTACCGTCGTGTGTCGGCAGCACCACGTATGACGCACGTGTTCCCAGCCCTAATTCCCACAGCGTTACAGGAAGCAGTTGTTTGGTATTTGAAATCTTAACGGGGGGGGGGGGTGTATATTTTTTTCACCAAACGTATTAACTCATTCACTGCCAGCCGTTTCCTGGTTAGGGCTGACTGCCAGCGTTTTTGAGTGTTTCACTGTTTTTCGAAGAGTCACAGAACATTGTGCTCTGTGATCATGTAAACGCCAAAACTACCAAAAGAAAGAGTAGACTCCCTTCTTACGTCAGAAATAATCAGCATGTTTCTGGCGTTATCCGTTCTTTCACAATCTGTTGTGGAATTGTGAGCTGCAGAAGCTTTTCTGGTCTGGCCTCGCTTTTTTCGCAGCAGCAACCCAAAACTATCTCCTAATTCGTGGAGTTTCTGCTTCCTGATCACGTGACGTGTGAAATATGTGGATGAAGATCAGCTTTAGAGATGTGATGTTTATTCTCACGGTGCAAGGGTTCATTCCGACGCTTGCCCCGTGAAGCTACGGAATTGACGACTTTAGTCTTCAAAAGTTATTTTTTGCTCTTTTGGTCAAGAAAATAATTCCTAATTCCCTCATGATCAAATTAAAGTTTCTTTCAGTATTGCTTCTTTTTAGTACATGCATTATGGTTGTTTGAATGTGTTTGAGGCAAAAGAATTCAGTGCAAAATGGGATTTTATCCTCCAGCAGCTGGAGAATCCAGTCGTTAGACCAGCTGGAGAAGGTGGCCACTATAAAGTGGAAAGGCAGTGATATGAAGGACTGTTATCTGGACCCTTAGACAGACCGTTTAACTGGCGGCGAGTGAAAGTACAGGCAAAACAACATTAATCAGCTGTTACACACACACACAGAGAGAGACCAATAAAATGTGTGTGTGTGTGCCTGTGCGCGCGTGCATGTGTGTGTGTGTGTGTGTGTGTGTGCGTGCGTGCGTGCGGGGGGGGGGGGGGGGGGGGGGTGTGAAATCCCTCTAATAGTGATCGGCCCCTTCAGCGTGTCACTTCAGATTTGAAATTCCATCATTTTCCAGCCGAATAGTTTCCTGAGGAAATACTAGTTCAAGAGCTGGCGGGAGACCTCCTTTTGCTCTGTTGTTTTCCCACACACACACACACACGCACGCACACGCACGCACGCACACGCACACGCACACACACACACACACACACACACACACACACACACCGTACAAGATTCTCCCTCGAACGTTTTCTTTGTAACATCCAAAACCATCTGACTTTATTAAACGCCAAACTAAGCAACAGAGGTCGTCAATCAGATTGCTGAGGAGCTAATCGTTTTCTACTCGTGTGATGACAAGAATCAGAAATATGAGCATATAATATCGGACAAATATGTGTTTTGATTAAAACATGTCCAACAGTCTCCTTTCTTTGCTCTTTAGCCTTTAAGTTCCACACCTGGAAGAAAACTAAGCACAAAAATAGCTTTTTTACAATTTTGACAAATAGTGAGAATACATTTTAATTTTAAATACATTTTTTATTTTATTCCATTGTGTTTGGGGTTCATTGATCCTTTTTGCTTGTTGATTTTACTCCTCAAATGAACTAAAATGCTCTAAGCAATGGTTGACCGGAACATCACAGGAAGTAGGTCGGTCCGTCATCTCACAGCTGGTTGTAGAGGGGTTGATGCTCTCAGCACAGATTTCGTGTGACTTGTTGTGTAAATTAAAACCCTCCCTATGCTTAGACTGCAGAGATAAGTGATGATGAGATTGAAGGCGTACATCAGGTAGACATGGAAAGTAGATGGTTAGGATGTAATTACCAACTATTAAGTGCACGGCAGCATCACTGAGGGGTTTTTTTTTCAAATTTTCCTCCATCCAACCATGTTCTAATAGATCATGAAGAGCAGAGTCGAGTCATTATTTAGGAACGGAGATGGCAATAATGTTTCTAATGTTCCTTAAATGGATATTCCACCCAAAAATGAATGTCTGACATATTTCCCAGAGTTAGACAAGTGGGAAAAACTATTTTTAAACAATCCAGTCAATCTCCTGATCTGGCTGTACTCATTTAGCTTTAGCTTAGCGTAAAACACAGTAAGTGAATGGATCCAACTAGCATTGTGGTTAAAAACGTCCCAGTAGTGATCCCGGTTCTACATGGTGACCTAAATTATCCGACTGACTGCAAGTGAAAATAATTAGTAACATAAAGGAACTAATTTAGACTTGGGACTACTTTATGACAAAGCACAGCTGTAAGCCTCCCGCTTAGTTTTGACTCGCAATGCTAGTTGGATCCATTCATTTCCTGTGATTGATGCTAAGCTAAAGCTAAAGAGAACAGTCGGATCAAGAGAATGAAAGGGCTGGTTAAAAAGTGTTATCTAACTCTGGGAAATAAACGTCAACGGACAAAATTTCAATTTTGGGTGGAATATCCCTTTAAATATTCTGAACTGTCCTTCCTCAGGTGAGGCTGGAGAAGCAGGACTCAAAGGAGAACTTGGTCTCACAGGAAAGATGGGACCCATTGGAGAGAGAGGTGAATGAAAAAACTACATTTTTATTCCAATTAGAGGTTCGTGTCTCTAATTCTGGTTTAACGTCCACCCTTCTGTCCCTCCCCTTATTGACTTAATTATCATTCAAAATGAACATTTACAGTCATCAGTCCTGGAACACTTCTGCGAGGAGATAATGAGTCAACATGATATCCATTCTTGCTTTCGAATGTTCTAAAAACTGCCAGATACACATTAAAGTGGTGAACAGCTTTCTCCACATCTCCTAAGGAGCTTCTCAGTTACAGGAGACTCGGAATATTGATTAAATAAATCAGACAGGTACATTTAATGAGTCCAAAGACTAAAACATGAGCAGAAAATTTGTTCAAAATTAATTTGAGAACAGCAGCATTCAATTAGCGGACAAAGCCTGTTTTTAGGAGAAAATTTCACCACAAATCAGACAAAATAAAGCATAACACCAAACCAAACCATGATGTCATGCAGTAGATTCACAGGGGGAATCTTTATTTTAGCTTTTATGAGCAGGCATGTTCCCTTGGCTCTCTGGACACTCACTGTTCTCAGTGTTCATTATGTTTAATATGCTTGCGGGAAAGTGGCAGTGCATCAGCCATCTCAGAAAAGGAGTGAGGTCACAGAGGTGGATTTACCTCCTGGAAACCTGGAGCTCATAAAACACCTGGGGGCAAACCAGAAAAACAAAAACAAGTTTATTCAGGGCAAACAAAAACACAGCATGTGAGCTAACTCGACGTGTTCGAATGCTTTTACTCAGAATATCAGAAAAAATAAAACAATCTCACCAAAAACAAATTTAAAAGGTTGTGGGGTTCGTGACCCCCCAAGGGGCACCCCACAGGAGTGTCTGTGCTGAGGTTGTGAGGTTCACAAGATTATTTTTGCCCAACTGACATTTATAAAATGACACACCCACTAGTATAATCAAAACTCTATAAGAGTTGTAACTTGGTATGTGGGTAGGAGCTGGGGCTCCGGGCTTGTCTCAGACACAGGCACGGGGCTGATCTGAAGCGCTGATCTAACAGGTGGGTCTGGCTCTTACTCCTCTGGGTCCTCTGGGTGTGTGCCTCTCAGCATTTCCCCAAAACCTGCAACTGATAATCGGCTGAATTTCAAGCTCAAATAAAAGGTAACAATGTTTTGTTGCATGCTGGATTATGGAAAAAGCAACACCTTTACTATGTGTTACCCTGCTAGGGTCAGTTTGAAACCATCACAAATAACTGGACAGAATTAAATATGCATGGTTCTGCAGACACGTTAAGTTATTGCAAGTGTGACACCGCCATCTGTTGGAAAACATTTGTAACTTCCTCTAAAACTGTCATAAGGAGCTGTTACAGTGATGGTTTGGCTCTTTTGAAGCGTGTTCCCACAACCTCAGCTCAAAAATAAACTGCAAAGCGGTTCATGCAAATGATATTTAATAAACATTTCCATCATCTTAAATTGTTCTCCATATGATTTTTTTTATTCTGCATTTGATTTGTTGCATATCTGCTGCTGAACCTGGCTTTAGCACATCTGGATGGAACTTTGATGTAGCTCTGTCATCATAACATCTGAAATCTATTGCAATGTAAAGGTTATAAAAAACATTTCCCACTACAACATCAGAGATTTCAGTGGTTTTAAAACAAGTTTCATCGATCCATTTTCAGCTGCTTATTCAGGGTTGGGTCGTGGCAGCGGCAGCATAAGCAGGGACGACCCGACTTCCCTTTCTTTCCCTGGCCAGCTGAGTCCCTCCAGCGTGTTCTGGGTCTTCCTTAAGGTCTTCTCCCGGTTGGCGGTCGAACGCCTTCTACAAATCCACAAAACACGTGTAGATTGGTCAGGCAAACTCCCACCCTTCAGGATCCCCCTAAGGGTGTAGAGCTGGTTCAGTGTTCCACGGCCAGGACGAAAACCACATTGTTCCCCTTGAATTCGAGGTTCTACAATCTGACGAACCCTCCTCTCCAGAACCCCTGAGTAGACCTTACCAGGGAGGCTCAGGAGTGTGATCCCTCTGTATTTGGAACACACCCTGTGCTCCCCCTTTTCAAATAGGGGGCCCCCAGTCTGTCAATCCGGTGGAACTGCCCCCAATGTCCACGCAGTATTGCAGAGCCGCATCAGCCAACACAACCCTAAAACCCCTAGAACCGTAACGATCTCTGGGAGGATCTCGTCCACCCCGGAGCCTTACCAACAAGGAGCTTTTTGACACCCTTAGTGACCTCAGAACCAGAGATTGGAGAGCCCAACCCAAACTCCTTGGACTTTGCTTCCTCGCTGGAGTTGTAACTGTCCCTGTTGTGACTAGTTTTCACCTCATCTGTTTAAGCATCACTAATCTCTATGTATTTAAACGGAGGTTGTTCAGAGCTCTCTATTGGGCCATTCCCATCTGTACCGGGTCGGCCCGTGCCGGGTAGCGTTGGTTGTTTACATATCTGGCTGGCCTGGTGTTTTTCCGGGCCAACCAAGTCTCATTCCCCGCCCTCTTCTCGAGGGGGTCTGCTTCAGGCCGACCAGGGCCGACACACCCACTGCTGACAGCAAATTCACACCTTCCATTAGAGCAAGCCTCTGATTGGTGGGTAGAATCAGCCCACATGGACTTAAGGCAAGGATGTGTGGAATCAACCGGGCCAGGCTGGGGCTGACTGGGGCTACCCGGCCCGGGCCGACCCGGTACAGATGGGAATGGCCCATACCAGACAAGATCATTTTGCAAGCTTTCCACACAGACCTACTATAAATATCTCTAATTTTATAAAAGGCTGTGAGTAATTTAGTGTAATTTTGGTTGTAGGTGACAAAGGACAAAGGGGTCTTACAGGACCAGTCGGTCTCAAAGGGAAAGCTGGTAAGAAAATAATTAGATTTAATGCTTTTGTAAATCACTTCCTGTTATTATCCAGTAAGTTCTTCTCTAATGAATGCACTTTTATTTTGTTAGTTTTGTTAGTTACACTTCCAAACAAACAAGCGGGGCTTTAAATAATAGATGCTAGAACTGATTTTTTTCAGTGGTTTATTACAATAAATACATAAAGCAGAAGCCATTTTATTTTTGTTGGATCTTTTTAGATTTGTTTATAATAGTAAAATTATAAACAGGTTTCTTGGTGGCCTAGTGGTAGAGTGTCCGCCCTGAGACTGGGAGATCAGGGGTTCGATTCCTGCTCGGGTCAGACCAAAGACTTTGAAAAAATGGGACCCAGTGCCTCCCTGCTTGACACTCAGCATTAAAGGGTTGGATTGGGGGGTTAAACCACCAAATGGTTCCCGAGCGCGGCTGTGTCTGCAGCTCACCGCTCCCCCAGGGGATGGGTCAAATGCGGAGAACAAATTTCACACACACACCTGTGTGTGTGTGACAACTAATGGGACTTTAACTTTAAAATGTCCTGACTAATTATTCTTTCCAATAGATGTACAAACTTTTACTCTAGTTGTGACAGTGCAGAAGGCCTGTTTTCTCTTTAAATGAGCTTGGTGTTTAATTCATCAGGTGCGACATGTGACTGTGGGAGGTACAGAAAGGTGGTTGGACAGCTGGACGTCAATGTAGAGAAGCTCAGGAAAACTGTCAGGTTCGTGAAGAACGGTGAGTCACGTGTAACTTCATAAGTCATGTTTTAATGCAAATAAAATGACTTAAATGTAATCCCATGAATTATATTCTCAATTTTAATGATACTTTTGGCTTTAACTTGAGTTTCTTTCTAATAGCAGCTGGAAAGTATTGGGTAATATTTTCACCAGAGGTGTCAAAAGTATTCACATTCATTACTCACGCAGAAGTAGACTAGTTTTAAAAGACCTGTGCTTGTGCTTGTGTTGACAAACAAACTCAAGCTTTTTACTTGAGTGAAAGTAAAAAGTACTGATTTCAAAACTAACTAAAGTGTAAAAGTAATGTAAGAAATGAAGTTTTGGACAAGAGCTTAAACTGCACCAAAGCACCACCACACCTCCCCAAAAACATTTTACCAAAGGCTATATGAATGACTATATTCTTATATAAACATGCTGAAAATTTCAACATACAGCACACCTTTTTCCACCCAATGAAAATGAATGTATTTTAGTTCAATGCAAAAACCCAAACTTTCTACTTAAAGGGGTACTTTGTAACTTTTTCATATTTTTAAATTATGTTCTTAAGCCAGTATGTGCTAAAAATGACCCTTTATAAGGTTAATGAAATATCACTCAGACCCCCACCAACCTCTGTGGCCAGAATACCGTGTTTGCAACTTCAGAGTTTCCAGTTCAGTCTTTTAGACTTAGAAAAAATTGAGCTTATTGCTGGTGCAGTCTACTTCCAGCCCATTTCCTGCAGCTGATTTGTTTAATTTAGTGAAGAACCGCTCCTGTAGACACTAATGAAGGCTGGGGAAACATTGCTTTCGGTTCTACTAAACAGACAGTAGGCGGTGCTAAAAGCAAGCCAAACTTCCTAGTCTCCCAGATGTAATTCATTACTGGACATATTTGCTTGCTCATGTTGGACATAGACCTGAGCATTGTTGCTCTAATCTGTTGTCATCCATTTGCTGTGCAGTTGTTTTGGGCTTGAGGGAGACGGAGGAAAGGTTCTACCTCCTTGTGAAAGAATCCAGGAAGTACCGAGATGCATCGCTGAACTGCAGGCTCAGAGGAGGCACCCTGGCCATGCCGAAAACCAGCAGCCTTAACAGCCTCCTGCTGGACTACATCAGCCAGGCAGGACTGACGGGGGTTTATGTGGGAGTGCAGGTGCAAAGCAAAGACTTAGTAAGTGTTAAAAGGCTGAAGTATACCTACAGCATGCATTGCTCTTTTGTGATCAGTGAGCTGAGTCACAGAGAAAGAAGGTGACTAAAGTGGTTCATCTTTCTTAAAGATTTTTCTGGTCTTGGCTTCTCATCTTCAGAATGGAACCAGCAGTTATGTGTATGCAGACTCCAGCCCTCTGCAGGAGTTTGCTGCTTGGAGCCAAGAGGAGAAGCTGCATCCCAGATTATTTCCAACCACAAACTCCAGCTGTGTGGAGCTGCTCAGCACTGGGACGTGGGGTCATGTGGAGTGTGAAACCGCCTTATTTTTCATCTGTGAATTCCCAAAGAGCAGGAGAAGAGGAGGAGGGGGAGGAGGAAGGGGGTCGCTTGTTTCACTATCATAAACTGAATCAAAACCAAACATGGAAATAAACGTCATGTAACCAGACCAATGGGGCGTTTGCGTCCATTTACAGATTTATTCTGGGTGGGTGACGGGTTTGGATGATGTCATGTTACTTTATTCTGTAGTGACAGAAACACTGACACTGTCGTGTATTTCCTCTGATGTGATCAATTATTAAACATTTTCAAATGCTTGCTTTTAGATTTTTGGAGAGTCTTTTCTGGGACAATTTTCTGAATCTCAAAGCAACCCTCTTGTCCAGGAAATGTAGGTGTTATGAGCCTGGTCTCCAAGGCTTTTCTATTTATAGTAATTCAAGTGCTGAGGACAATTGAGAGTCGGGTTTTACTTGCCCCACAGCCTCAGGGAAATTATTTTTTCCTCCGCCTTGACTGTCAAGGCTTTGAACATCCTAAACCTCCAATGATGATTCTTTGTAACAGTTCAAATCAAACTGAGTCTCCTCTTTAAGATCTGTGTACCATTTTTGCCTGAATTACATTAGGTGTCAATATTAATAATAATAATAGTCTGCATCCATCCATTGTCTTCTGCTTATTCAGGGTTGGGTTGCGAGGGCAGTAGCCTAAGTAGGGAGGCCCAGACTTCCCTCTCCTCAGCTACTTGGGCCAGCTCCTCCAGGGGAACCCTAAGGCATTCCCTGGCCAGCTGAGAAACATAGTCCCTCCAGTCCATCTGTCCTGGGGGTCTTCGTTTGGCTCTCCTCCCAATTTGACTTGCCCAGATAACTTCACCAGGGAGGCATCCTAACCAGATGCCCGAGCTACCTCAACTGGCTCCTCTCGATGTGGAGGAGCAACGGGTCTACTCCGAGCCCCTCCCGGATGGGGAACGAGCTCAGCAATGTGGATCTGTCTCTGGCACCAGTTATACAGCATGTATCAAGGGCCTACCCCATACTCCTGGAGTGCACGGTCAAACGCTTTCTCCAGATCCACTAAACACGTGTAGATTGGTGGTTGGACAAACCCCCACGCACCCTCCAGGACTGTACAGAGATGGTCCAGTGTTCCATGGCCAAAAGAAAGAGCGTAAAAGACACAGAGAAATTGTGGGGGAGATTCACAAAGAGGACTGCAGCTGGAGTTAGTGCTTCAAGAACCATCACACACAGACGTTTGCAAGGCATGGGTCAAGCCACTCTTGAACAAGAGACAGCGTCAGAAGCTTCTAGCCTTAAGACAAAAAGGACTGGGCTGCTGCTGCTATGGTCCAAAGTTGTGTTCTCTGATGAAAGTAAGTTCATCAACGCAGCCGTCTACCAGGAAGTTAGGTGAAGTGAGGCTGGAGAAAAATGTCTCGGGCCTGTGGACCATCAGCCTCGATTCCCTTCAGGGTTGTGTTCTCTCCCCTCTGCTCTTCTCCCTGTACACCAACAGCTGCACCTCCAACCACGAGCCTGTCAAGCATATCAAGTTTGCAGATGACACCACCGTCATTGGACTCATCTCTGACGGGGATGAGTCTGCCTACAGAATGGAGGTTGAAAAGGCTGGTGTCCTGGTGCAGCCACAACAACCTGGTGCTAAATGCACACGAGATGGAGGAGGTTGTTGTGGACTTTGGGAAGCACACAGCACCACCACCATCACCCAGGACCTCAAATGAGAGTCCACCATCACCTCCATCATAAAAACTCCCAGCAAAGGATGAACTTCGTGAGCCTGCTGAGGAAATTGAACCTATCAGTGCAGTTGATGAGGCAGTTCTACACCGCAGTCATCGTGTCATGGCTCGAGGTAAGTGTCTAACCCAAGACATGCAGAATCAGCACACGTAGTCCAAAGCAGTAAAGTAAAATGTCTTTATTATAAAAACGGGAACTGAAACCGCACAGGGAAGTCCTGTGGGATGAGCAATACGGCTCGAGTCTCTGAGGTGCTCAGGTTAATCAGTAGAGGAGGGGAAGCCGGGGAGGACGCTGGGCAGAGGATGAGAGATCCAGGAGGGGTGAGGTAGCAGAGGGAAGGCCAAACAGGAACGGCGGAGGAGGATGGGACGTGATGAGTATGTTCCAGAAAACGAAGACAGCGAGGGTGAGTAGATGATGAGATGATCCTGAGCGAGACAAAAACAGGCGTAAGGGATAATCCAATTCCAAATCCAAAATACAATCCAAGGTCATAAATCCACTAGTCGAAGGCGAGTCAAAACACGAATTAACAAGATCAAAGTTCAGAGTCGAGTGAGAGGAGAAGGTGTGACTCACCTCTGCCCAGGAACATGACAGTGCCCCCCCCTCAACGGACGCCCCCCGGCGTCCTAGCACCGGATCTGGAGGCCTCGAAGTCCGAGATGAGAGAGGGGTCCTAGATGTTGGACCGGGGAATCCAGGAGCGTTCCTCCGGGCCGTACCCCTCCCAGTCCACCAAATATTGAAGACCCCGACCACGGGGGCGAGAGTCGAGGATGCGCCGCACCTTGTATACCAGCCCCCCTTTGTAGAGCTGAGCAGGAGGAGGCGGAGCCGGAACCGGGCACAGAGGGCTGGAAACGACGGGTTTGATCAGGGAGACATGGAACACAGGATGGATCCGAAGAGACGACGGGAGTTCCAACCGCACGGTCGTCGGACTAGGGACCGCCGTGACCTTGAAGGGACCAAGGAACCTAGGAGAGAACTTCCTGGTGGTCGCCTTCAGCGGGACATCCTTGGACGACAACCAGACCATTTGACCGGGAGAGTAGGTGGGAGCAGGACGACGGTGTCGGTCAGCCAGTCGCTGATTCCTTTCCGCGGTCCGCTGAAGAGCCGACCTCGTGGTGATCCAAGTGCGGCGGGCCCGACGAAGGAACTGAGGAGTGGTGATGGTGGCATCTGTATGAAGGGGGAACAGAGAGGGCTGATATCCGAGGGAGGACTCGAAGGGAGACTGACCTGTGGCGGAGGAGACATGGCTATTATGGGCATATTCGACCCAAGCCAAATGCTCACTCCAGGTGGATGGGTTGGTGGCGCAGACGCAGCGAAGCATGGCACCCAACTCTTGGTTCATCCGCTCGCATTGTCCATTGGTCTGCGGATGAAACCCCGAGGTCAGAGCCACCTGGGCTCCCAAGGCGGTGGCAAACTCCCTCCAGACACGAGACACGAACTGGGGGCCTCGGTCAGAGAGGATCTCTGTTGGGATCCCATGCAGACGAAAGACATGTTTAATTAAAAGCTGGGCCGTGACGGCAGATGTAGGGAGAGCCTTTAACTGCACTAGATGACAGGCTTTGGAGAACCTGTCGACAACAGTTAAAATGACACTAAAACCATGCGAAGGTGGCAACCCACAAACAAAGTCCAAGGCAATATGGGACCAAGGACGGGACGGCACTGGTAGGGAACAGAGTAGGCCTGCTGGAGACTGATTGGTACCTTTTTGTTGGGCACAGACGTGGCAGGCCGACACATACTCCTTCACGTCTCTGTAGAGGGAGGGCCACCAGAAAGATCGCCTGATCAGAGCAACAGTACGTCCTACTCCAGGGTGGATTGAGAACCTCCCGGTGTGAGCCCAGTGAATAACCTTTCCTCGTAGTGCCTGGGGAACAAACAGTCTGTTGGAGGGTTCGTTACCTGGCCCAGGATCCACCTTAAGGCCCTCCAGGACCTGGTCTCTTATGGGCCATGTTACTCCAGCAACGATGCAGGAGGCAGGCAAGATGGTGCTAGGAGCCGTCTCATCTTCAGAGGAGTGCTGGCGAGACAGAGCGTCAGGCTTTGTGTTCTTTGATCCTGGTCTATAGGACAAAACAAAGTTAAAGCGGGAGAAGAACAAAGACCACCTATACTGTCGAGGGTTCAGTCTCTTTGCCTCCTTGAGATAGATCAGGTTTTTATGATCAGTCCAAATGATAAATGGTAGTTCAGCCCCCTCCAGCCAATGTCTCCACTCCTCCAAAGCCAGTTTTACTGCCAGTAACTCCCTGTCCCCAACGTCATACCTGCTCTCGGTGGGTGTCAAGCGCCGTGAGAAGAAGGCACACGGATGAAGTTTGTGGTCTTCTGGGGATACCTGAGAGAGGACTGCGCCAACCCCGGTGTCAGAGGCGTCCACCTCCACAGTGAACTGCTGCTTGGGGTCTGGTCTGGAGAGGACTGGGGCCTCGGTGAACCTCCTCTTCAGAGTCCTAAATGCAGCTTCGGCTTCTGGAGACCAGGAAAAGGGCTTAACAACAGAGGTTAGAGCTGTCAGAGGGGCTGCGGTCTGGCTGTAATTGCGGATAAACCGTCTGTAAAAGTTTGCAAAGCCAAGAAACCGCTGCAGTTGTTTCCTGGTGGCAGGGGTAGGCCACTCAGTCACTGCTTGGACCTTGTCTGGGTCCGCCCTCAGCCGTCCACTTTCTAAAACAAAACCAAGAAACTTAACTACTGAAACATGAAATTCACATTTCTCGGCTTTTACAAATAGTCTGTTCTCCAACAGCCGTTGGAGTACCATCCGAACATGTTTCTGGTGTTGATCAATGGACCTAGAAAAAATCAAAATATCATCAAGATATACAGATACAAAGTCATTAATGTAGTCCCCCAACACTGAGTTCACGAGTCTCTGAAACACCGCTGGAGCATTAGTGAGGCCAAAGGGCATCACCAAATATTCAAAGTGCCCCAGGGGTGTCTTAAAAGCTGTCTTCCATTCGTCACCTTGGCGGACTCTGACCAGGTGATATGCATTGCGGAGATCCAACCGCGTAAAAACAGTGGCATCTTGCACAGGTTCAAAGGTTGATGAGAGTAGGGGGAGTGGGTACTTGTCCTTCACCGTTATTTGATTTAAACCCCTGTAATCAATACAAGGGCGAAGCGACCCGTCCTTCTTGGCCACGAAGAAAAACCCAGCTCCCAGAGGCGAGGTGGATGGCCTGATTATGCCATTGGCCAGGGCCTCTGTAATGTATTTCCTCATACTGTCCTGTTCAGGTTTGGACAGACTGTAGAGGCGGCTGGTTGGGAGCGGAGCTCCTGGCAACAGGTCTATTCCAATGTCAAATGGACGGTGAGGTGGCAATGTGGCTGCTTGATCTCTACTGAACACTTGCTGCAAGTCATGGTACTCACTTGGTACCTGGGTGAGATTGGGCGGCTCCACAAGAGTCTTTTCAGAGTCCTTGGATCCAGAGGAAGCAGAGGTCAGGCAGGTAAGATGACACTCCGGACTCCAGGTCTCCACACGGCTTGATCTCCAGTC